AGGCTAGCAGTTTTGCAGAATATCCCCCAGTCTGGTTTCCGATGACTTCTTCAAGATGAAAAGTTTTGTCATGAAAACACCACGGTTAGGTTCATACTTCCCACCTCATCACATCAGGAGACCTCTGACGTCCCCGTGTGTGACCCAGTTACCCAGGGTGGTGTCTGACAGGTGTGTACATGATAACCTGTGTAAAGGCCTCTTCTCGATAACTAGTAACCATCTGTGAGGTGATACTTGGAGACTACATGCATATCCTTTTCCCAAGCAAACCACTCACCCGCTGGATTTGGCATTTATCCAAGATCCACGCTTCAGTCAGTTCAGTTCGGTCATTCAGTCGTGTCCAACTCTGGAACCCCATGGACTGTGGCACACCAGGCCTCCCTGTCCATCACCAACTCCAGGAGTTTACCCAAACTCATGTCCTTTGAGTCAGTGATGCCATCCAACCATCTCATCCTCTGTCGTCCCCTTCTCCTCCTGCTTTTAATCTTTCCCAGCATCAGGGTCTCTTCCAGTGGGTCAGTTCTTTGCATCAGGTGGCCAAAGTACTGGAGTTTCAGCTTCAACATCAATCCTTCCAATGAACACCCAGGACTGATCTCCTTTAGGATGGACTGGTTGGATCTCCTTGCAGTCCAAGGGACTCTCAAGAGTCTTCTCCAACACCACAGTTCAAAAGCATCAATTCTTCGGCGCTCAGCTTTCTTTTTTCCATGCTTACATACATCAGTTATTACACTGATGGTTCCAAAATGGGGTGTGTTTCCCTTCCATTTGTCAGCCGACTTTTAAAATCTGGCTCTGTTTTCATTTTATTTTTTAAATGTTCACACTGGCTCTTTGTTGTGGTGCACAGGCTTTTCTCTAGTTGCAGAGCACAGGTTCTAGAGTGCTCGTTGTGGCAAGTGGCCTCTCTAGTTGAGGGGTGAGTTGCCCCGACTTGGGCTTGAACTTGCGTCCCCTGAATTGCAAGGCAGATTCTTAACCATTGGACCACCAAGAAAGACCCTCAGCCAGCATTTTATGTGAAGACCTTTCCCTATCTCTTTTTGCCCTTATTATTGTCATTTAAAAAAAAATTTTGATCATTAGGGACCTATGGATTATTTTTTATTCTGTGTGTTACACTCCATTCCATCATGTTTATGCCAAAATAAATACAGCACTTGCTATTTTAGTCATTTTTAAGTGTACAGTTCAGTGGCCCTCAGAACATTCACACTGTTCTGCAACCATCACCACCGTCCATCTCCAGGACCCCCATCTTCCTCAGACTCTGTACCCATGTTCCCCTTCCCTGAGCTCCTGGCAACTACACCATCTTTTTTTTTTTTTAATGCTCAAATTGTCTTAGAATTGGCCGAGGACGGGAGCGCCTGCGGTCTGTTTCCTGTGTCCTCTGACGTAGCTCCATCTTTCTTTGGGCACTTCCTTGTTTTCTGGCACAAGAAGACTTTCCAGGCTCCTTTCATCCTTTCTCAGCCCCAGCGCCCAACTCCGCTATTTCTCCAGGGACCCCACCCAGTTCCTTTTTGTGGGCAAGGAGCAGTATTTATAAACTGGCATTTGGGCACTTAGGTGAACTCATCGCTGTCGGAGAGCCACCCCAGCCCTCCTAGTAAACATATTTACGTGCCTATCTCTTTCTCGGTCACAGGAATTCCTTCACATCACAGCCAGCATCATAGCATTCACTCCAGTCTTCTTTCCTTTTAGTGTTTGTTCACTCCCTTCTCGACCTGGGAGGAAACTGACTCTCCTGTCCTCACTGTATTTATGGATGTAATCAACACCCAGGAGTGTAACTGACAAGAATGCAGAGGCGCCTTCCCTGGTGGTGCCACCCCGCCCCAGGTGGCCTGCGTGCCTCGTGCCTGGCCCACCCCCTCCAGGCGTGGGGGCCGCCCCCCGAGGACCGCATTTTCGCGTTGCCCGTCTTCCTCCCCATGCAAGCACACACTTCTCTTACCCTCCTGGGCCTCCGATGTTCCCTGTCCCATACCGGGGGTAGGGGAAGCTGCCCCTCTGTGTGGATGCCCGCATCGCACCCCTGCCCCCCCAGGACTCTGACCCTCACGCCTGTAAGAGCAGCATTTCTCCCAGCTTCAGTGATTTCTTCACCTCTTGGTAACCTTGTTAAAAATGCAGACTACTGGGTCCCACTCCCAGAGGTTATGACTCAGTCGATTGACACGAGATGATGAAATCCACAACCTCAACAGCTGCTTCTGATGCAAGTGGTCTGAGTGACAATTTCAGAAATTCCGTTTTCATCTGGAATCATAGGATCAAAAGGTAGAGCGCATTTAATATTTTGACATGTGTTGCTAAACCGTCTGTCTGAAAGGCTGGACCCAGGTACAACTCCACCGGCCATGCGTAGCAGCAGCACACTGTCCCCAAACTTTCAACAGAGCCCTAAATAGGAGGCGGCGCTTCCTAAACGCTGGGTGGGTAGATGGAGGTGGGGCGGAGGGAACTTCTTCCCTGGGACCCAGTTTCCTTATAAAATCGATCTTGGATTAAAATAAGTGTTTCCAAATGTAAATTCCAATTTGCAGGCTCAGGTCTATTGCATAAGACTGTCCTGGAGAAGCGGGTAGGGGAATCTGTGTTTAACAGTAATCCTGAGCTTCTCTTGAATAAGTTCCATCCAGGTTACTCCTTAGACTAAGTGAGTTTTGTAAGTATTGCTGTGATCGACTTTGCATGTTGTCTCCAGTTCTATAATATTTTAATTTCACCTGACTGTACAAGACCTTGTTTAATTATGAACCAATAGCGATGAACTTTAGAAGAAAAAGTACGGGCAGTCTACAGAGCAGCTATAATGCTCAAATAAGATATATCTGAATGATAAATTCAAGACATGTCTTTTATATCTTTGCAAAAGCTAAATATTTCAGATATTTTTTACATTTTTAAAGAAACTGCCAGTGCAGAGATTTAAAATATTCCTAAAATGTCAAGGTTGCATACTAATACCCATGTGCTGCTTTCTCATTGGGAATATTAAAGTGATGGACTGGTACATAATAAAATAAAAACTTCAGACCTGAAGGAAGATCAGACTTCAAATAGAAAAAAAAAATCAACTTTCTCAGCAAAAAGGAAATAAGTCCAGTGGAAAACAGTAATAATGATAAAAGAGGATTGAAAGTAGATATCATGACAGCATGCTAAAGGAATGATGTGTAATTTGGAGAAGTTATGGTTAAAGAGTTTGCTGCAGAGGAATGCATTGATTCATCTTGAACAAATATTAAACCGCTGAAAATTTTCCATACTGAAGTGACTTTTTTTTTTGGTATTAGATTGATTTACGAACTGTATTTACAAAACGCTTAAAATTGGAAGTCGTCGGGTCACTCTTGGCTATTGGAGATTTTGGTCAAATAAATCTTCTGGTGTATACTTTTTTTAAAAAGTTAATTACTGAGCATGTACCATGAGCCGGGTTCTATCTTAAGCACTTTTCTTCTATTAACTTCTTTTCTCTTCCATCAACCCTATGAGCTATGTCCTTTCATAAATCCTCTTGAGAGGGGAGGAAGCTGAGACATAGATCGCTTAACTGGTTTGTCCACGGACAACACAGCTCTTAAGTGATGAAGCTGGAACTCACACCCAGGGGGCTGATCCCAGGACCCACGTTCTCCACCACATCACAGCAGAGTGGTGGTTAGCGTGGACAGTTGTTATGAAGAGCACGTTGCTTCTTTATTTTCTGTCTTCATTCAAAATTGATTCATTATCAGCGGTGGTTTGGGTAGACCTGAGCCAGGTTTCTCATTGTCAAAGAAAAAAAAAAAGAAGTTACAAATAAGCAAGGGGGAAATCTAGAGTGAACCCCATTGTTCTAAAATAGTGTTGGAGGCGTCAGTATGAATTCATGTTCAGTTTAATATAGGCAGAGAGATGATAGGTAGATACAGATAATTAGAAATATGCGTGTGGGACTTCTCTGGTGGCCCAGTGGTTAGGAATCTGCCTTGCAATGCAGGGTTTGATCCCTTTTTGGGAAGCTAGGATGCCACATGCCGCAGAGCCGCTAAACGTGCGTGCCGTGACTACTGAAACCCACGTGCTCTGGAGCCTGGGCACCGCATCTCCCGAGCCTACACGTCACAACTAGGGAATCAAAATGCATCACGACGGAAGATTCTCCAACAGAGCCAAGACCCGACACAGCCAAATAAATATTTACAAAAAAAAAAAGAAGTATGCATGTACATCCTTGGGTTTATGCACACACATGTATTTCCTGGCTTGTCTCATCAGAGGACCTGGAAACAATGGCACCTCAGTGGCAAGAACTCGCTACTAAAGACGCAGTACCGAGGACCAGCATTTGCCACTTGGTTTCCAACACCATGTTCCAATAAAAGCAACCAGGGATCCTTGAAGAGGCTGCTGCTTCTAGGGTTAGAGCAGGGAAAATACAAGAGGTGTCTGGATCGCCTCGTAGGCCCAGAAAGTAAAGAAGTTCCCAAAGGGACTTCCCTGGTGGTCCAGTGGCTAAGCCTCCAGGCTTCCAGTTCAAGGGCCCAAGTTCGGCCCCTGGTCAGGGAACTAGATCCTGCATGCTGCAACTAAGACCCAGCGCAGCCAAATAAATACATAAATATAAAAAAAGAGGTTCCCAAAGGGCGAAACAATGGGGTATATTAAAGTGTTGTGATTGTGTTCGCTTAGATTCTGTGTTTATCCACTTGGCATTCAGCCATCCCAGAGCCAGACAAACAGCCAAAATTGTTTCCATCTCCACTGTGATCCAACTCTTGTGGGGGGTGTGAAATTCATGCCACAACCCCCCCGCCCAGTCCCAAATGCATATCCCCGACCACGTCCTTTATTTAACTCACACACCAAGCCAGCACTTCCCCGGCTCTGTATCAATCCAGGGCGGCATACCAGACAACCAGGGACAGCCCCTATGCTTCGAAGCCGGTGCTCGAATTAGTCAAGCCAACCCTAAACTTTGTCTTTCCCAGGGAAGCCCCAGTAAAGGTTGTGGCCTGCGGTCTCCCCACTCCTGCTTCTGCTCTGACCAAACCTGGTGCTTCTCCACGTGCTCCCGTGTACCCCTCTTCCTTCGGAAAAGGTGAGAAATTCTTTCAACGGCATTAACCTCTCCATGTTCACTGAGTCACCTCCGTAAGTGAGAATCCCACAGGTTCTAACACAGTTGGCATGATGAGAGGGTGTCTCTGTGTTCTGTAGACGGGCCTCTAGGTGCTCTCGGCCTGTTAACTGTGTTCACCCAACAGCAGTTCTGTCCGGGAGGTGTGCCTAGTGCTGTGGTCCATGCGCTTCTGCTGTCTCTGCCTGATGCCGTGTCCGCCGCCACGGCCTTCTAACCCAGACTGTAAGAGGACCTCAAAGGCACACACCTCCACAGACGACCTCATTCATTCTTAGGTGCTGAAGTCTAGTCTGGCAGCTGCTCTGATTCCCCAGTTGGCACCTTACTTTGGACAGCTTGGTCCACTGGGCCAGACCTGGTTTCCCCCATTCAGTAAAGCTAGGTTCCAGGCAGTGACCCCAGGATATTTAGGATGAGGCAAAAAACTCTCCCACAGAAGGAACAAGGACAGGCTTCCTCCAACCAGACTGTGTCTGTCCAACCTACTCAACAGCCTTGAAGCCAACAGTGGGCCATCAGCTGCCCTGTTGGAGTCCCCCTTCCCCTGGCCTTCAGAGGATGCTTTATGGAGAGATCTCTAAATGTGCAGAGATCGCCATCACCTCTTATAGGAGATTGGTTGGTCCACCTGCATGGGAGCGGGCTGAACCATTTGCTAACTTGAGATTTCTTCCAGATCTATGATTCCACCTTGATAGAAATTTAACACAGTTCGTGCAACATGGGCTAGTATTCTATGATTGCCATGAAATACATGTCCTATGGACAATTTTTAAATATTGTATATGTCGTATGTAACAGCGTTTACTGTATGATACAATCAAACCCCATGAAGTAATGTTTATAGTACAAACAAGAATAATTAGAGCTTTTAAAAACACTGGACAAAAATCTTTAAATAAGAACTATTTCTAAATACTTTTGCTTGCTTTTGCAGTTTATGTGGCCTGATTGTGACTTTCAAATATCCAGTATTCTTTCATTATTTTAAAATTTTATCTATTTTTATTTGGAGGATAATTGCTTTACAATATTGTGTTGGTTTCTGCCATACATCCACATGAATCAGCCATAGGAATACATATGTCCCCTCCATCTTGAACCTCTCTCCCTCCTCCCACCATGCTAGGTTGTCACAGAGCCCCAGGTTTGAGCTCCTTGCGTCATATGGCAAATTTCCCCTGGCTCTCTGATTTTACATACGATGGTATATATGTTTCAATGCTACTCTCTCAGTTCATCCCACCCTCTTCTTCCCGCCCCAGCCCCTTGTCCGGAAGTCTGTTCTCTATGTCTGCATCTCCACTGATGCCCTACAGATAGGTTCGTTCATCCGTACCACCTTTCCAGGTTGCATGTATATGTGTTAATAAACAATATTTGCCTTGAATAGCTGTTTTGTGCTGGACACTGAACTGGCAGGTTAAAGACTCAGACAAATAGGCTTCTGGAGCCCAAATACAATAAATTGTCTAAGATTTATAGAGGAGGTGCACATAAAGCCTATTTAAATATGTAATGCAACACACCTGTGCCCAGTCCTTGGCTAAAAGTTTTTGTTTGTTCTTAAAAGTTCAGGATGATGTAGAGGAAATAAAGTCCAACCGTTCAGACAGCCAAATAGCAGATGAAACAGATGGACTCTGAGCTGCCATAAAGCCCAGAAAATCCTCCTACTCTTCTGGCTCTTATATTGTAACTGGCATGAAAACTCCATTTTTCTGCCATTGTGATTGTAAGTTGCACAGCCTTCTGTTTTTTTCTCTCTTATATATTGACCCTTCAAAGTTTATATCATGGATAATAGAATGATAATTTATAAAGAATTTACTTGAAAATAAATATGAGAGATTGAGCTCCATAAGACTAATTTGGGCTCCATGCCCAGAGAAATCTCACATTGAGAATTTCTTGACTTAAATATATTCACTGGAGCCACCTATTAGCTAAATCCCTTGGTGGATTTCCATTTAACTCTGTGAAGGCAGAAAAATGTATCACAGGGCCAGTATTGATTATCATTGAACGTAGAAAGGTTGTATGTGCTACAGTGGCTTTCTATGTGAATGTACACAACGTAACATACATGCGTGTTTGCAAACACATAGCTAAAAGTCGTGGTCATCCAACCACTGTTGGATTCTGAGCCATCTGGCTGGTCTTTGGTTTTTGAGTTAAATAGCTACAAAGTTCACGCCTATGTTTTGCTCTGGTTTCTCAATGCAAAATTAAAAAAAAAAAGTGTGTTGACAAGTGACAGCAAAACATGTGTCGAGAAAGGGGGCTTTTCGTTTTAGCAGAGAGCACTCTTGGCCTCTTTTGAAAAGTTCAAGGTGCAAGCTGAGAGACTCTCCTTACAAATGGGTGAAGCAGTCTTCCACCTATTTGATTAAGCCCTGTTCTTGGCTCTGTGCAAGCATTCCTGGGGTGTGAATGCCTTTGCTACTCTGGCGTCAGTAAAAATCAGACACTTCCCTGGCTGACAGTATCCAGGAAGGGGTGGGCGAGCAGGACCATACAGGTGCAGCTAAAAAGACCTGCTGTGGAACTGGAAAGAGGGCACTTCCCTGGTGGTCACTGGTTAGGACTCGGCGTGTCCTTTGCAGGGGGCATAGGTTGGACTCCTGGTGGGGGAACTAAGATCCTGCTTGCTGTGTGACACGGCCAGAAAAAAGATCTGTAAAGGAAAAAACACTGTCACTCACAGGTGGAGTGACACTGTTCATCTCTGCATCCTGCCATGTGGAAAGACGACGGGAGAGTCTGACTGCTATTTCTGAATCTGCTGTTTCCTCCCAGCTTACTTCTTTCTTTTTCAGTGAAGGTGGAGATAACAGACGTGTGCATAAATGTGGAGACGTGTGTGTATTCCTTCCTCCCAGTTTTTTTCTGTGTGTGTGCTCGGTTACTTACTCATGTCTGACTCTTTGCAACCCTCTGGACTGTGTAACCCACCAGGCTCCTCTGTCCATGGGATTCTCCAGGCATGATACTGGAGTGGGTAGCAATTTCCTTCTCCAGGGGATCTTCCCCACCCAGGGATCGAACCCACGTCTCTTACATCTCTTGCATTGGCAGGAGGGTTCTTTACCACTAGTGCCACCTGGGAAACCCCTTTGTATATGTATGTATGTGTGTATGCATATATGTGTATATATATATATATAGGAGATAGTTGGATAGCATCACCAACTCAATGGACATGAATTTGAGCAAATTCCAGGAGATAGTTGGAGAAGGAAATGGCCACCCACTCCTGTATTCTTGCCTGGAGAATCCCATGGACAGAGGAGCCTGACCGGGCCATGGTGCATGGGGTCCCAGAGAGTCGGACACGACTGAAGCGACTAAGCACACATGTGCACACAGGAAATAGTGAAGGACAGAGGAACCCGGCATTCTGCGGTCTGTGGGGCTGCAAAGAGTCAGACATGACTTAGCAACAACATATATATTTATACATAGACACACAGACACACACACACATATATATACCACAACTTCTTTCTCTGTTCATCTGTCACTGGACACTTAAACAGATAGTGCTGCAATGAACATGGGGTACAGATATCTCTTCGGCATAATGTCTTCGTTTTTTCAGATATATCCCGAGACGTGGAATTGCTGAATTATGTGGCACTTCTATTTTGCACGTTTTAAAGAGACTGTACTATTTTCCATACTGACTGCACCATTTTCCAGCCTTTCCAACAGGACATAAGGGTTACAAGCTCTCTTCATCCTCACCAGCGTCAGCTATCTCTTGGCTTCTTGGTGATGGCAGTTCTAACAAGCACGAGGTTAGAGATCTCTCTGTGGTTTTGATCTCCTCATATCTTATCCACATTAACCTGTAGAACTGAGGATAATAATTTGGGTGCACGCATCCCTCATTCATCCTACTACTGCTACTGCTAAGTCACTTCAGTCGTGTCCAACGCTGTGCGACCCCATCCCTGGGATTCTCCAGGCAAGAACACTGGAGTGGGTTGCCATTTCCTTCTCTCCTCATTCATCCTAGGCCTATTTAAAAAACCTCAAGGACACCACAGCCCTGCATCACTGTTGCAAATGGTCAAGGATCAGAGGCACTCATTGGAAAGTGTCAGGAACCCATGACTCAAGTCCATGGCAGTCAAATGCTTTCCTGGGGAGCCTTGCATAAATATTCCTAAGACCTCTTCCGCAAATGTTATGTAAATTGGTATGTGAAATCCTGCATAGTAAAGAAAAGGAAATGGAACCTCATTTCAATCTCCTTCTTGGGGCAGTTCAAGGTCCACAGACCCCCAAGGGTAAGCCTTCAGCAGATAAAGGAGTGAGACTTGGTGGGGGAAGGGAGGTCTCTGTGAGGCCTGAAACTTTGCAGCTTTTCCCCAGGAAATCAACAGAGCTTTGCTGAAGGATGGATCGCCAGCCAGTGAGTGCAGAAGGAGACCGGGAACTGAATCTTCTGTGTGCACACGGAGGAAGGAAGATTCATGGAAAGTGATCCAGTAGTCAGCACTTCAGTTCAGTTGCTCAGTCATGTCCAATTCTTTGCGACCCCATGGACTGCAGCACGCCAGGCTTCTCTGTCCTTCCCCATCTCCCAGAGTTTGCTCAAACTCATGTCCATCAGGTCAGTGATGTCATCCAACCATCTAACCCTCTGTCGTCCCCTTCTCCTCCTGCCTTCAATCTTTCCCAGCATCAGGGTCTTTTCTAGTGAATCAGCTTTTTGCATCAAGTGGCCAAAGTATTAGAGCTTCAGCTTCAGCTTCAGTCCTTCCAATGAATATTCAAGACTGATTTCCTTTAGGATTGACTGGTTTGGTCTTCTTACAGTCCAAGGGACTCTCAAGAGCCTTCTCCAACACCAC